AGGAATGCTAACAGCTCCGTTCAGGTCTACCCCGGCCAAGAGCTCTTCTCGGCGTTTCCTTACTCCGGTGTGTGCTACCCTTGACGTCCTCGGCCGCTACACTTCGGCGGGAGATGGGGTTTCCCGGCGCGTCCCGCCAGAGCGCGCGGGCAGTACAGTAGGTGGGCTAACTCATGAATTGTCAACCGACATGCGTTTTTGTTTCGAAAATATTAATTGAGTAGGGTTGTGAAACTAATCAGCCTGCAGCATACTTCTATAGTATTTCAGTTGCCTCAGGATGCCAGCTTTCGGATGAACTTTCTTCCAGCTGCATGGAAGAACTATACACTGTGATGAATGACTACATAATTCGCATGCATTTTCTCATTGATTTTTGATGCCATTAAAGTTTGAGTTATATTTCATAAAAAGCATTCCTTCTTTTGCTCATTCAGTATATAATTACATCTAATTTTATACTCGGAGGAGGGAAATAGTTCGGTTTTAAAAAAGTTTCTAATTGTGGGACTTTTAAATACCGTGAAATGTCTGTTCATAAATCGTCATGTCTCTGCATTTACCAATGTGGCTTGTAAAGTTAACAGTATGGATGAAATCCACTGCTAAATTTTATGAACCCTATATGGTCCCCTTTATTACCGTAGAAAAATGTGTGGTTTTCCGTACGCAGAACATATACGGCTTGTAGGTTGGAAAACCTGAATCCAAGTGTAACGGTAGAGCGGGTCCCAAATTATTCGAGAATTGGAAAAGTTTTTAAAAAAACGAATTATACTCTCCCTTGTAGCATAAAATTTGAAGAAAACGAACTTCTCTACCAAATGAGTACGAGAACCGAATCCTACCCTTTCTTCGAGTATAAAATCGGGAGGACGTAATTATCCACCGGATGAGTGAAAGAATGAATATTTTAGTGCATGTATTCTATGAAATATAATTGGAATTTTAGGGGCATCGAAAGTCAATAAGAAAAAGTCATGCTACTTAAGTGGTCATTTTTTACAATGTAGTTTTTGCATGCAGCCGGAAGGTAGTTCATTCGAAAGCCAACATCCTGAGGCAACTGAAATGTTATAGAATTATGTTGCAGGCTAACTATATCTACAATCCAAAAGAGCAACTAGTGTTCTCTTTGCCATTAAACGATCTTTCGTGGACATAGACAAAGAGTTATTTGGAAAATTATACGGAGCGTTCATTCGCTCGCATCTGGAATATGGAATCCAAGCGTGGCGCCCGTGGCTAAAAAAAGACTATAAGTTGCTAGAAAGAGTTCAGAGGAGAGCAACAAAAATTGTAAAAGGCCTCAGGACTTTACCTTACGACTGCCGACTTAGGGAACTTGACCTTTTTCCTCTTGAGTACAGGCAGGTTCGAGGAGATCTCATACAGGCCTATCGGATTTTGAGGAACCGGGAATGTGCCCTAAACCCCGACGATTTCTTCACCTTGGCCACAACAACAAACCTGCGTGGGAACTCTCTAAAACTTAGAGGATCCCAATGCCGCCTGGACGTTCGCAAATACTGTTTTTCACAGCGAGTCGTCGGTGCCTGGAACGGGCTTCCCGAGGACGTAATAATGGCGGATACCACGGAGACGTTCAAGCAAAGACTCGATGCATATTTGCTTGGACACTATCGCTTGTCTGAACAGAACAGCTCTGTGGTGCTAAACCAACGCCTTGCATACTCATACCGCTAATGCGGATGACTGTCATAACATTTTACTGAAATCATCTACAACTGAATGTTCACAAGTTTTGGTTCTACATTTTTTCGCAAAATATTCTGTTAACTGTGTATATTACTGACAAAATTTCAGTACCATGTTTATTTATAGTGAGATATTGCATGTACCGTTTACAATAGGGTTTTCAAAGGCATTGCCTATTACTCTTAAAATATACTGACCTATACTGACCTATTTTCAAAACGAAAACGCATTTCAGAATTTCTGTTGACATTTCATGAGTTAGCCCACCAACTACACCTCACCCCGGGACACCCAAAACGCGATTAAGTCAGTGACCGCGAGACAGCAATCTAAGGAGGAGGAGGAGGATAGCCTTCAGAAGACCCATAACTCAAGACTCGGTGTCTGTTGGTCAAGCAAAAACCGTCTAACGTATGGCTGCGTAAAACTACAATAGTGGAGGGGACACGTAAGAAGAGGTTAACTCATTTCTTTAAAAAAGCGGAAGTAATCTGCCAATGCATAAAGACATAGTAGAAACATAACCCGAAAAAAATAATTTGCTGGCGGCAAGGGGGCGCGATCGTCAAAGGGAGTTAAGACAGGCATGTGCCGACGGGGGAACGGGGCGAGAGACAGCGGTTCTTTGTATAAAGATAAATCACTGC